CCCCAAAACCCCAAAACCCCAAAACCCCGTCAGATGTGATCAGCATTAAGTCAAGCTAATTTAACACAATAATTATTAAAAGCTATAAAGAAATCAGTAATCGTCTTTATCTTCCTCTTCTTCGATTTCTTTTATGCTATTGTTATCGTTCATTTTAACAGCATTATTGCTTGCCTTCTTTTTATTAAAGAAGTTCTTCAGTGAACTTTTCAATCCACCTCCTCCAGCAGATTAAGCCTTCTTAGGATCTACACTTGCATTTGCCTAGATATTTAATTATTAAGAGGCCAAACCTGAACTAGCTTTTTAGAAATCTTGATAAAGCTTTTGTAAATTCTATAGGTCCTAAGTCTCTAATACCCTCTTTGCATGATTCATGATTGTATTAAATTTATCATAGTGCTTTATCTCTAGCAAGAATAGCAAATAATTTTATAGGATAATCTTATTTCCTGGATTAACATTAATGCCCTCTTCAAAAGCAAGTTTTGCATAATCATGGTATTATATTCTAGATAGAACTATACCAAGGTTGCATAATGCATCTTCATCATTGAAATCAATATCAAGAGCTTCTAAATATAGAATAGCAGCCTATTCATGTCTACCTTGAATCTGATAAATATTCGCCATATTAATCATTGCAGCAGTTTCAGTTGGACTAGCCATCTAAACATCAGCCAAAATTTATAATGCTTTGTCTAAATTACCCATATGTTTGTATACCAAAGCCAAATTGATCTTTGCTCCGAAATTTCTACTATTCTTGTCAATAGCCTAGTTCAAATGATTTAAAGCTTCGTTATAATCTTCCATTTCGTAGTAAGCTAACCCAATATTCGATAAATTTTAATCCTATTCTGATTTCTTTAAAGCTATAGCCTTTTTGTTGAATTCTATGCACTACTTAAATTCCATAAACATCATGTGAATCCTAGCTGCTTCCTCACACAATTAGAAGTGATTAGGATGATCATTGAAAGCCTAATCTCATAATAAAACTTATAATTCTATCTTACCATAGTTATAAATTGCTTTGCCTCGTTAAAATAAGCATTTTCTGTCAACTTCTTAGATAATAAAACAATTAAATGAGTCTACTCATCTTGATCTTTGTGCGAATCATTTAAAGTAATATAAAGTCTCTTAGGGTCTTTTTGTCCTTAAATAAATTGATAGTATAGCTTATCCTAAGAAGGAAGTTCCTAGTCAATCATACCAAACTAAACAAGAGTTATATTAGCATTAGCTTCTTTACTTACAGGTGATGGGTTGGCTGAAACCTTTGTACCTCTTCTATCCATTGTATTTTTTCTTTACATCTGTATATATCATTAACAGCAAAAGCCTATAAATTACTTTAAGTCCTAACTCCATAAATATCTATCAGAAATTTTAATTTTTAATTATTTATTGTATTATTGAATCAAAATCTAGGAGTTAGGGGTTTTGGGGTTTTGGGGGGTTATTC